TCCCAAGTATCCAGGATTACAGGCGCACACCACCATGCCCAGCTAATTTTTCTTATTCATTTATTTATTGTTGTACAGTCAGGGTTCTCACTATTTTGCCCAGGCTGGTTTTGAACTCTTAGCCTTAAGTGATCCTTACACTTCAGCCTCCCAAAGTGCTAGGAATACAAGTGTGAGCCACTGTGCTCAGCCACTCCTTGTATTTCATTTGTTGAACAAAGCAACTTGTTTGTCCCATGGAGTTTCCCACTGTCCGGATAATGACCTGAGCATGTCATTGAACACATTCCTCAGTCCTCTGCCTTCCTGTGAAGCAGGAGTTGGATCTAGTTATCATTCCTGAGGCAGGAGTCATACAGGTATGGTATCTACTTTCAATGGTGTCAGTTATAAACTATGTGCCAATGACTCCTAAATACATATTTCTGGTGCAAACATGTCTTTTGAACTAGATACCCACATCCATCATCATATTCTATAGAAAAGTATAGATGATGCTTTTCTCTCAGGCTCCTTTGAAGGCCTCCTCTTTATTTTTAGGGTTCTGTTTTACATTACAGTTAAATGTTTTATTATTGTTCATTATATATGTTGCCTCCTGTATCTGTGGGGTTTTTTCCTCCCTTCCCGAGGGGAGAATGATGCCCGTGTTGCCAGTTTCCTTTTCTTTTTCTCTCTCACTTTTCTCCCCCTCCCTTCTGTTCCCCTTCCCTTCCCACCCCTTTCAATAAGTGATGGAATAGACAAGTCATGTGATGAGAACTAACTGGAATCAAACCAGATTTTAAAAATATTAGATTATCAAAATATAGTTAGACAGTAGAGTAAAATCAAATTATGAAAGTATGATATATAATATTAAGTTCTTCTCTTCACCAAAATATGAAGTACGAAGAGTGAATTGGTCAGAAGCATTGGACTGGTGCATAGCTACGTGTAGTTTAAAAAAGAATCCTTCAAAGGAATTTTATTAAGTTCTTGTCAATGTTGTATTTTTCTTCCTAGGTCTCATATTTTGGATTCTGGCTATATTATAACAAATGACACTTTGACATCAGATGTCATTGGTCGAAGAGTTGAAGTTAATGGAGAATATGCAACAGTGCGTTTTTCTGGCATTGTCCCTCCTGTGGCAGGTACGATTGTGTGTATGTTTGTGTATTTGCAGCTGTTTCTGTGTAGGCTTTTCAATAGTCCTTTATGACTCCAATTTTGTGGAAATTAACAGCTAATTTGTAGATACATCCTGTATGCAATTGTTTTATTTGGGTGACAAATGTCCTGTGGTATCAATGATTTTGTTTAGTTATATCCTGTTGAATTATTTAGTGTTTCTATCACACATAAAATCAACCTTAAAATATTTCCTGATGGGCCTGGCACAGTGACTTACGCCTGTAATCCTAGCACTCTGGAAGGCCAAGGTGGGAGAGTCATTTGAGGTCAGGTGTTCAAGCCCAGCCTGAGCAAGAACAGAATCTCTACTAAAAATAGCAAAAATTAGCTGGATGTGGTGGCAAATGCCTATAGTCCCAGCTACTCAGGAGGCTGATGCAAGAGGATCGCTTAAGCCCAGAATTTCAAGGTTGCATTGAGCTATGATCACGCCACTGCACTCTAGTCAGGGCGACAGAGTGAGAGACTCTGTCTCAAAAAAAAAAATTTTTTTTTTTCTAATGAAACTTTAAACAACCTAAAGTCTTTGAATTCTCATAATCCTCAACTCAAAAGCTAAGTAATTTTTTCAAAATTTCTTTTTTCATTATTCCCTATGTTATATGTATTTAATACAGTGTAAATTGATATACATCCAATTTATTGTTACCTTTTTTCACTTATTTGGTATATACTCATCAATGTTTCTACAGCATTATTTAACTTACATTTCTTAATGGTTGCATTTAGTATAGTATATAGTTGCTTTGGGAAAATCCCAGGATGGTATAGAAAAACTGCCCTCCAAACTGAGATGATGTCAAGAGACCAAAGAATGATTGGGACAAGCCCAGCTTGGCAAGTTAAATGAGTGTATTATATTATTGACGGCACGGGACTTCTTTGGGGAGTAAAAGCTGCACTGTCTGCCTGTTGTGGCACCTTAAATTTCTTTTTAGCAAATGATGTGGAGTCTTCTCCGACATCATTGTATGTACACAGGCTAAACATATTAAATGTGCAATATATCCACCGAGTGTCTTTATGTGATCCATGTTATGTTAATGATATTTTCCTCTCGGTGGGGATTTTAATAGTAAAATGAGCTAAAGGGTACTATAGGACAGCAAGAGTGGTTACAAGCAGTCTCAACCAGTACAAGGACTTGGTTTACAGATGCCCTCAGGGTCTTGTGGGTTTTTTTGTTGTTATTTTCTGTGTTTATGTTAAGCCGTTGCTTTTGCTGTTTTATTAACTCTTAGATGTCTTCTTTCCCTGGTAAAGAACCTGTTTCTTTTTCCTCAGTTTGTTTAATCATTCCCCATTTTTGGACATTAATTTCTGGTTTTTTACTTTTGTAGGTAACAGTGTAGTAGACTTATTCATATGTTTTAGTCAATCAACAAACATTTGAACATCTTCTATGTATTAGGAACTGGCTTGAAGAGGTACAGGGGGGCTCAGTGATAAACTTAGACCAGAGGTTCTGATAGTGTGGTCCTTGATGCATCGTCTGGTTACTTGTTAGAAATGCAAATTCTTGGGCCTCACCCTAGATCTGCTGAATCAGAAATTCTGGGGGTGGTGTCCAGCAATTTGTGGGTTTTTAAAACATTTTTACTTTTTATTTATTGTGGGTGTGTAATAGTTATATATTTATAGGATACATGTGATTTTTTTGATATAGGCATATAATGTGAATTAATCAAATCAGGATAATCACCTCAGGCATTTATCATTTCTTTGTGTTAGGAACATTTAATTTCCACTATTTTAGGTACTTTTCCTAACTTATGTTGATTAGTCACTTTGTTGTGCTATCAAATATTGTTCATTCTATTCAACTATATTTTTGCACCCATTAGCCATCCCCACTTTATCCTCCCCTCCCTGCTACCCTTCCCAGCCTCTGCTAACCATCATTCTACTCTCTATCTCCATGAGATAATTGTTTTTAATATTTAGCTCCCACATATGAGTGAGAACATGGGAGATTTGTCTTTCTGTGCTTGGCTTATTTTACTTAAGGTTCTCCAATTCCATCTGTGTTGTTGCAAATGGCAGGATTTCATTCATTTTTATGGCTATATCATATTCCATTGTGTATATGTACCACAATTTCTTTATCCATTGATCTGTCGATGGACACTTAGGTTGATTGCAATTATTGGCTATTGTGAATAGTACTGCAATAAACATGGGAGTACAGATATCTTTTCCATATACTGAATTCCCCTCCTTTGGATGTATACCTAGCAATGGGATTGCTGGGTCATACAGTAGTTCTCTTTTTAGTTTTTTGAGGAACATCCATACTGTTCCCTATGGTGGTTGTACTAATTTACATTCCCACCAGCAGTGAACAAGCGTTCCGCATCCTTGCCAGTATTTGTTATTACCTGTCTTTCTGATAAAAGCCATTTTAACTGGGGTGAGATGATATCTCATCGATTTGCATTTCTCTGGTGACTAATGATGTTGAGCATTTTCTCATACACTTGTTGACCATTTGTATATCTTCTTTTGAGAAATGTCTATTCAGATCTTTTGCCCATTTTTAATTGGATTATTTGATGTTTTTCCCCTATGAAGTTGTTGGAGCTTCTTTTTTTTTTTTGAAACAGAGTCTCACTCTTTTGCCTGGGCTAGAGTGAGTGCCGTAGCGTCAGCCTAGCTCACAGCAACCTCAAACTCCTGGGCTCAAGCGATCCTTCTGCCTCAGCCTCCCAAGTAGCTGGGACTACAGGTATGAGCCACCATGCCTGGCTAATTTTTTCTATATATTTTTAGTCGTCCAATTAATTTCTTTCTATTTTTAGTAGAGACAGGGTCTCGCTCTTGCTTTTGGTTTCGAACTCCTGAGCTCAAACGATCCACCCATCTGCTTCGGCCTCCCGGAGTGCTAGGATTACAGGCATGACCACGCCCGGCCTTGGACCTTCTTACATATTCTAATTATTAATCCTTTGTCAGATGGGTAGTTTGCAAATATTTTCTCCCATTCTGTGCGTTATCTTTTTACTTTGTTGTTTCCTTTGCTGTGCAGAAGCTTTTTAGCTTGACACGATCCCATTTGTCTAATTTTGCTTTGGTTGCCTGTGCTTTGGGTTATTACTCAAGAAGTTGCCCACACAAATGTCCCGAAGCATTTCCCCAATGTTTTCTTTTAGTGGTTTCATAGTTCCAGATCTTAGATTTAAGTCTTTAATCCATTTTGATTTGATTTTTGTATATGGTGAGAAATAAGGGTCTAGTTTCATTCTTCTGCATATGGATATCCAGTTTTGCCAGCACCATTTATTGAAGAGACTGTCTTTTCTCCACAATATTTCTTGGCAACTTTGTCAAAGATAAGTTCACTATAGATGTGTGGATTTATTTCTGGGTTCTATAATTTGTTCTATTGGTCTGTGTGTCTGTTTTTATGCCAGGTACCACAGCAATTTGTGGGTTTTTTTTTTTCTGTATTTTTTCCCCCCAAATATACCACATCACCCAAAAGCAATTTGTGTCTTAAAAAGCCCTCCAGGGGATACTATTGTACACTAAGGTTTGATGAGAACCGTTGAACTAGATAGATGTGGACTCTGCCTTCATGGAGGTTAATATTTACTATGGAATTCCGTAAACAGATAATACAGAGAGGTACCCCACCCCACCCCTCAACCAGGATTATTTGTAAGTGGGAAGAGAAAGTAACATTTAAAGAGTAATTACTGTGTACCAGGTACTGTCATGAATGTTCTCAACTGCATATTACAGCAACAACCCTAAAATATATGTTTCTAGTCTCATGTTTATAGATGAGGAGACCAAGTCTCAAATCTTTCATGTAGCAGAGCTGGGATTTGCATCTGTGCTTCAAAGCCCATGCCCTTTCTATTCTGTTGTTTCTCAAGAATATAAATATTCTCAGGTTCTTGATATATATTGCCAAATTGCCATCTGCAAGTATTGGATCCATGTCCAATACTTGGAAATTTCTAATGCCCAAGTTCTCTGGGAAGCAGACTGATGTAGAGATTTACATTCAGAAAGTTAGTGTTCAGAAAGTTTATTAGGAAGTACTCTGGGACTAATACTCATGGAAGGCAAGGGGAGCAAGCAGGATTGGGCAGAGGGAGAAGTTGGGCTGTGATGCAGTCTCAGCAAAAGTTTCAGCTGTCCCCTTGGGGTGCTCTGAAGGTGAGATGGCCCTTCGGAGTCTTTCCTAGTTGAGATGAGGGGTTTGGTCTTATACCTTTGTAATGACCTGTTATTGGATTCTGGTCACTCTAAGAAAGGGGAATGCCCCTGGGAAGGTGCTTTCTTTAGTGGACAATTCCATAAGACAGCAAACAGTTGAGGGCTATCTGCCAAAATCCAGTGCTCACGTCACCTGCGGGAATAATTTCTAATTCCTGAAGGCAGAGTGGTGTATCAACAGTACAGTAATATAGATGGAAGCTGTTTAATAGTAACTTAGCAAATATGAAGTGGTATGTATTATTTTAGTTTTCCTTTATTTTTTTATTTAGTTTTCTTTTATTACATTGCCTGTGGGTGTGTTACTTTCTCTATGCGTGTTTTATCAGGCAAATGCTTTTTTTTTCTTTATGAAAATTGTAATCCTGTGAAGAAGGAGCTACTTATGCCTTCTTAATTATCTCATTGTGTGGGGCATTCTCTCCATTACTTTAGCTCAATTTATGCTAGTTTTGGATTTCTTTTAGAGATCATCTGGTGAAATTGGTGCAAAGATGCAGAGAAATTGAACACAGATTTAGTAATTACTCCTGGGGTTACTTCACTGGATGTTGCTGTAGGGCTGTTATGACAACCAAATGAGTTAAGGTGTTTATAGCACTTAGGCCAGTTACTGGTGCGTGTTGTTGTAAATAAACATTTTTTTAAAAAAATTACTTAAGAAATGTAACTGTCC